CTCTGTTAAATCACTGCCAAAAGCCTCTTCAGTTTCAGTGATACCAGGATATTCATCACAGGCCTTTTATAAAAGAGTAGATGAGCTGTAGTGAGCTTGGAAACCTTTAGTTCATATGCCAGTGGCATCTCAACTCTCTCTTCCAGAATATCTGACTCTGAGGAATTGCCTCCTGTTTGGAAAGTATTTTGGGGGCCTCATTGCCTACCTTGTACTGGACCAAGAGCTGAGGAGAAGGGTTTTTTATCCACAAATTCAGGACAGAATATCACATTCCTTAGAATAAGGGAGAAAGGAGTGACGTTATTCTGCGCACAAGAAAAGGGCAACTCATCCCCATCATGGGTTTATGAAATCTCACCTGGGTTTGAGTTTGCTGAGTAAAAGCTATACCTTGCTCCTGCAGGAAGGTATTAGGTTGGTCAGCTGCCAATTCCTGGGGAACGAACCCTGTGAGATTATTTACATTCACCCCAGTTAATCAATTAATGTTTGTAAAGCACTTTAAGCTTGAAAAGCACTCCTATAAATATTTGGTATGATCATATAATTACACTACCACATCTCAATTAAATGCACAATTGGCCATGCTTTAATCATGTAATTGAAGTGTCACCAGAAGTATTTCGAATGCAGGTATCTTAGTCTATGCTGACCATCCTCAAGTCTGGTTGTAAATCTGGAGCAAAATAAGGATTCTTGATTTTGGAAACACTGGAGACCTACTGTCTAATCAGAATGAATGTCACTTTCCCTAGAACAGAAATACATCTTTTCCACAACTACAAATACTATTTGTCTTGCATCTTGAACCTTGCTTCTAGTGGGCAGCGCAAGGACTAACCTGCTTTTCTGTTTGTTTGGGGTTTGTTTTTGTTTTTGTTTTTTACTTTACTGCCTTCCCTCATTAATATAATAGAAAAAGAATGTCACTTGTGATCTTGTCTCAGATTTATATCCTTCAGGGTTATGCTTTATCAATGGTCTGTATACTGTACTGTGTGATGTACTGAAATAAATTAAAACAATTAAATGCTAAAGCATTGTCCATTTCCTCCAGAGGGTGAAAAAAGACATTAAGCCTCAAATAAATACATATATGTTGCCATCTGATTATCAGCAATATAGGAAGTATTTCTCCCTTCTCCATTGTCTTCATTCTGAATAGTAAGCTTGTTTATATCAGTGTTGACAATCCAAGCAGTGGTCCGGCTTCAAAAAAAAAGAGTAATTTTAAAATAGTAAGATTTGATATTTCTTTTTCATAGTACATTTTATGGTCTTCTAACTGTAAGATCTTTAGGCAACTTAGTTACATCTAAGCTTTTCTCTACAAACATGAGAGCTATGAAATTGTGGATTTTTTTTTTTTGGGGGGGTGGAGTTTATTACTTTTTATTTTTCTAATTAAATCAGAAACTTTAATGGACTATCTTGATTTATTAGATGAAGTAGTTAGTTACTTTGCTAGATGGCAGTATTGTTGCCATACTTCCCATTCCTCCTTTTTTACCTTCTTCCTCTGGTGATCTAACTCTTCTTCACTCCTTGCCTTTTCATGTTAATTAAATACTCTTTGGGGAAATGGATAGACAGTTTTTGTATATTTGTACAACACCTGCACAGGACTGTAGTTGAGGCTTCTAGATGCAATCACAACCAAAATAATTACATTTACATCTGCTCTTTCAGGTTCATTGGCATCAATTTATCCTGGAATGAACCTAAGATATTTTCCAATGCAGAGTTGTTATTACATCTTCCTATATCTTTCTGGAATAACTGCCACAACGTGGGCTCACAGAAAAATGTGAGTTTCCACCAAAACAATACCAGAAGATCAAAATATAAAAACTCTTCAGGGCAGGAACTACCTCCAAGTATGTCTGTATAGCATTTTCTGACAATAGGACTCCAGTGAGGGTGTCTAAGATGCAATTACATAATGCATATATATGAAATGGAATGTGTCATTACTGCAGTGTTAAGCTATAATTGGAAACCACAACAAGAAAAGCACTTTCTCCCTTTTTTTTTTTTAATTTATTTCACTGAAGGAAAAAAATTGTCTTTGATATATGAAGCATTTTATGAGACCATCTTTTTATTTTAATAACTGCTAATTTGCACACCTAACATCAATTGCTGGTGCAATTAATTGTGGATGCAAATGAGAATGTTTAGCTGTCTAATCACCTGATTGTGCCTATAAATCAGTGACAGTAATTATGTGTGTAAATGCTCATTTCAGCCTACAATTAATTTGGCCAAAATTGATAGGACAGAAAAAAATACCACCCTAGGCTGAAATTTGGTCCCCAGTGTGTGAAAAGAGAAAGTATCTTCTTCTTCTGCCTCTTGTGTCTAAATTGCAGAGAGCTAAGTAGACAAAGAGCAATGATTCCCCAGTCCCCAATAACTCACTGCCAGTGTTTCACAATAAAGTGCAATGGGAGAGGAAATATTTCCATAAGGGTTCATTAATCACAACATATTTGCCATGCACAACCACTCTGCAGAGCAGGTAAAGAACCCTGGGGGATGTTGCCTGGCACAGCATGTCATTTTCATAATAGGAAAAGTATTTTTTGCACAAATGCTGTAGAACCGAAGTTGCAGATGGCTCCATTGGCAGAGCTAGAGCCTCCTGGCGCAATCCTCGGCAGCCAAAGCTACTTTAGGTATTTATAGCAAGGATTAGTGATATCTCAAAAGAAGGATGCTGAAGATGCTCTCTGCCTGCTATGTGCAATATTCCCAGGTGTGCCCCTTGGGAGGACATGTGAGGCAGGCCAATAAAACCTCACCCAAAACCCAAACTACAGAAGGAAATCCAAGTCTTACCTGTCCCTGATGTGCTGCAGGACACTAATGAGAGGTCTAGGAACAATTACACTGACTGTGACTGAGAACCTGGGGGTCCAACAGACCCCATTAGCAGAACTACAGAGCAAAAGATGCCTTTCCAGCTCAGTGGCTTCTTTCAGATCTGGGCAGAAGGCCATTTCACTTTACCTAACCCTGAGGACTTTGGAGAGTCCCTGTTATCCCATCACACTCTAACCCATTGGTGTTTTGCATGAGAGGTAGGGTTGGTGTCTTGCTTATTGTACCTCTGTGGTCTCAATCTCTGAGTGGTTCATTGCTGCTTCACTCCCACGTGGGACTTTGAAGCCACCTGGTGTGATTTTAATTTAAATGTGAATTTAATGTGTTTTCCTTTTATATTGCTATGATGTGCATTGTCAAGAGAAATGCTGTAGGCTCAGATCTGGCCTCTCAGCTGTTTCTCTACGCTAGTCCCTGGTTTTGTTTCATGCATATTTCTGAGTAAAGCTGTTGCTCTGCGGTGGCGTGTGCACTGGGTACAAGGGTACGTTGGGTACAAGCACGGCGGTCATTCTTTGTGGGGGCAACTGAGTCTTCGGTTGTTCTACTAGCCAGGGGCCAAAAATCTGCCCATTGGCAAGGATGCTGCTGGAATTACAACTGAACAGAAGAGGGATGAAAGGTTGCATGCAGCCTGTATAAAAAGAAGTTCCACAATTCACCATGCTCCAATAGTTATGAAAAGGATTTTAAGACAAGGACTTGTGAAAACAAGGAGAAACACTGAAATGTTGTATCTTAACCAATTAAAACAATTCATACTGGAAGTGGTTAAAATTTACTAACATTTTTCTTACAGAAAATATAATCTCACTTAAAAGAAAAAAATGCTGTGAAAACATATTAAAAAGATCATAAGGAAATGTTTTCAGGACCAGGATGTGAATGATGAGAAAAAGAGAAACAGAGCGCCATATCATTTAGTTGCCCAACACGTTACTCCAGTAGGATGCAAGACACCCTAATGCAAGACAATATCTTAATCTTCAGAATTTTTCATTAAGTGAGACTTTTTTCAGCTAGCCTTAATTAGTTTTGAACTAAAATTGTAGGAGCAAGGTGGGACCCTAGACTTTCTGACACAGAATAAGAGAGAGCAGATCAGAATAACAGAGCAGATCAGAGATCACCCACAGTGGTCACTGCACTGCGACACAGGTGTGTCACAGGAGACCACCGCAAGCTCCGTGAGGGTCACAAAAAGCATCACAGCAGCCAGGTGGCTTGGCCATCTGAAGACATCCCTTGCTTTCTAACAGCACTCATTGGTCCTCAAATCTATTTAATTGGCTGGTCACCAGGTGTTTTTCTCCCTGCTTGCACAGGGCACCAGAGCTGACACGTGCTTTCTGACCGTTACTTCTCTCATCTGCTGGTTACTACTGCCAGCAGCAGCAGCCTGTTGGGCTCCTGGCTCCTGCTTCTTCTTAGTGCGGCTGCTGCACGGGAGCTATCGTAGTGAGTCACTTCTAATCACCAAGGGAACCCACAGCCAGATCCCTGCTCCTCCTAAAATAGGAACTCACAGCTACATCTTCTCTGCTCCTAAAATAATCAAACTATGAGAAAAAGCATGATATATTTGGCAGTATGTGAAATATGATATTCAACGCATTAGACAGGTGGAAAACCAGGACAATGAGCTCAGCCATAGCAGGGCCCCAGGCTAAGACCACCCCAGGCTTGCAGTGCAGGTGGTCTTCCAAGTCCACAGAGGCATGCAGAAGGGAGATCAGTGCTTTGCAGGTTCTGAGTAGAGACCATTGCAGGATCAGCTTTCCCCTCCCCATTATTTGAAAAAACTCTGAGGGAGGCCTTATAATCAACACATCCCCCTTATATTTTAATTCAGAAAACTGAGTCCTTGAAAGGAATACTATTTAACAAAGAAGACAATGCTAAGCTTTTTAAATGCTTTTATGAAGGCAAGTCTTGACTTTAGTTTATTCTTATCACATCAACTATTATAAATTGCAATATGATAATCCTTTTAAATAAATGTTCATTATTGTGAAGTACATTGAGAAAATGTTGGTTATTTTCAAGCAGAAGTGTTACCTGTAAAATATCGTTCTGCATTTCTATAACCTCTGTCTTTTATTTCTAGGTATTTCCACACAATATACTTGGGTATCCGGAGTCGACGGAGTGGAGAGAATGACAGATGGCGGTTTTATTGGAAAATGGTGTATGAGTATGCAGATGTGAGTATGCTGCATTTGCTAGCCACGTTTCTGGAAAGCGCACCACAGCTGGTCCTGCAGCTCTGTATTGTTGTACAGACTCGTACACTCCAGGCTCTCCAAGGTAGGGTTTCATTTAATCTATTTGGTTTTTATCATTTTAGGAAGATGCAATTTCTATACATACGTATTTATCCTTCTTTCAAACTGCTGTGTGCCTTGTACTCCTGGCATAAGAGCAGATCTTGCCTGCTAGCTGCTATTAAGCTGTTAACAATGACTCTGTCAAGAAAGCCTGTGTTGTTGGAGGTTTTTTAGCCTTTCTTATTGGCCCTGGGTTGTGGGTAGGGTTTATAATGGTTTGCTTTCTGCATGTCCTTGTAATAGAAGAGCTCTTCTGATTATCCACTGGGCCAATGTGAAAATTGCATCAATCAAACTATTGCTCTTCTCCCTACGCTTCTTTTTGTGAATGTTCAAAACTCTCCAAACTGCAGTAACGAGGTTCATATAGTATTATGCAAAACAGAAAATGGCACAGCAGAAAGACCTACTCTGTGAAGAAAATGCCAGTGTCTTTGGAATACCTGTCCATCAGTTCTTGGCCCTGTTTATCTGAAATGCTACAATTCACCTCCTGAGCATTACAACAATACTCATTCCTTCAAGCTCTGTCCTTCCTTCCAAGGTTGAAGCTTTCAGCAATCATGATTACTTCTTTAAAATGGTAAATGCATACATATGTCCTGCCATAGGGTTTTGTCAGTCAGTGATACAGATATAAGAATATCTCCTTCTCTACTGCTTTTTTGATGCTGCTTCTGGCTACCTGATAGTTTTTCTTTTGTATTGCACCATTATGTACACCTTATGGCTGTACCTGGGCAGAAATTACCAGCAAAGGAATGAAGTGAATGAGACCTTGCGATCCAGAAGGTGACACAAAGATCATGAGGTGGTGAGGAGTAAAGGGAGGAGGGGACGAGGAGCAGAGGGATAGAGAAGGAAATGCAGCATTTTTGCCATTTGTTTTTGAGAAACTAGATAGCTTATTATGAGTAACATGCAGTGAGACTGATTGGGTGAAAAAAAGACTTGGAACAAAGTGGGTAACTGTGTGAAGACTTTGACCCTGGGCAGTTTCCTGTGGATAAATCAGAGGCTTTTCACTTACCTCCTCTTTGAACTGACATCTAATAGAATCATAGAACCATAGAATGGTTTGGGGTGGAAGGGACCTCAAAGATCATCTAGTTCCAACCCCCCTGCTGTGGGCAGGGACACCCTTCACTAGACCACATTGCCCAAAGCCCCATCCAACCTGGCCTTGAACACTTCCAGGGATGGGGCATCCACAACCCCTCTGGGCAACCTGTTCCAGTGCCTCACCACCCTCACAGTAAAGAATTTCTTTCTAACATCTAATCTAAATCGACCCTCCTTTAGCTTAGACCCATTAGCCCTTGTCCTGTCACTCCATGCCCTTGTAAACAGTCCCTCTCCAGCTTTCCTGTAGGCCCCTTCAGGTACTGGAAGGCTGCTATAAGGTCTCCCTGGAGCCTTCTCTTCTCCAGGCTGAACAACCCCAAGTCTCTCAGCCTGTCCTCATAGGAAGAACATAACAGCTGTCCTGCTGCCTGTGGTTTTAGATTTTGTTTCTTTAGATCTAAAACTCTGTCACCTTAAGGGGAAAAGAAAGCCAAAGTTTCTATTTTAATTAGTTGGTGTTATGTACAGGAAAGATTGCCTAAGCACTTCCTACAGCTATTTCTCAAAATGATGCTGCCCCACACCAACCAATCCAAACTATTATCATTCAGGAGAAGGTATTATCATTTCAAGAAGCTTTGTCCCCCCAGAAAAAGACAATCCAGAGAGAGGCTTAGGAGAAGAACATAGCCAGAATACTGTATGGTCAGCTGTAATTTAGCTGTCTTCATAAACTATTAATACGGAAGGCCTCTCACCCTCATTTTAGTGCAATAATAGATCTGTCTATGAGAAATGTGGCTGGTGAGTAGGCACTAAGCCTGTGATGTACTCTGCAAGTGGTTGTTAATTAGAGAAAACCTGAAATGCTTCAAATTAAAAGGCAAAAATGGTTCCTGAAGCCTGCAATCAACTCTGTGAAATCTATGTATCAGAAACCAGAAAGGAATAAAACTATAATTATGGATTTCAGCTGAGAAGGCTGAAAATATTTACCAATCCTGTCTTCCCTCATTTTCTTCCATCTTCCAAGGAGAAAAGGCTCCATTTAAAAAAACCTAAGAAAATTAAATAAGGTTGTAGCATTTTCTTAAACAGTAGTACCATTATATTCTCCTGATGAAAGCTAATATGTTTTAGTACATTGCCAGCTGTGAAAATCCTTTTTCTGTTCTCTCTCCTTTTTAAAGGAATGTTAAGGATAATGTGTTACACTACAGGATGGTAGATTTGCTGTGAGGCTGCATAAGGAGAACATAATTTCTCTCAGTGGTATCATGCTACAGCTGGGTGTTTTAAGGTATATGCTTCAGTCAGCTGTCCGCTCATTGAGCCTGTTATAGAGATTTCTAACATGGATCAATAAACAGAGTGTTTGATTGATTTTCTTTGTTTAGAGAATGCAACTTGTTTCTTATTATTGTTCTTTTAGTTCTCTGTCCTGCAGAACAAAGTTATCATGACAATTGATAAGTG